GGGGGGGGGGGGAGTGTTTACGTAGCAGCACGTTAGAATTGCATTCGACTAATTAAGAAGCTGCAGTTTTGGATGATACGGGTGATGTCGGAGATGCTGCGCGATAGCAACTTTATTCATTTAAGATACTTGTGGGTCCAGTGATGATTATTTGTTATTGTTTGTGATTTGTTTTGGCCACGTGTGTCGGCGAATGGCGCCAATCGGCAATTCGTAGAACCGATGTCATTTGTCGGAAGACCATTTTATCGTAGATGTTGAATCGAATGAAAAATGGTAAAAAAAATTGTTTTGTACAAATGAAAAACAAATTATGTATTTGCACAGATGAATATCGATATAACTGAATCAATGATAAGCAAAGAACTTAATCTTCAAATTATTCGTTTTTATTGTAAACACTTTAATATTTGTTATTAATTCGACGCCAATGAAATTAATGTACTATGTGGTAATTAGAAAATAAAATAATTAATATATATTATATGTGTAATGACAAAAGGTATGTAATGATATAAATGTAAATTATTTTTTGTTTCATTAAACTTTACAATTTTTCAATTACAGAACGCAATTGTTGATGTTCAATGAAAAAGTGCAAATGTCAATTCAACGAAAAAGAACATTCCATATATTTCAAAGGAAAATGTATTACTTGGGACTGACTATTTCAACAATTGTAAATTAACAATGCTTTGTATTAAGAAATGACGTCGAGAGAAATAGCAATAAAAATAAATTTGTTAAAAAAAGGAATTAATTATACCAGAATGTGTTGATTAAATTTTAATTGATTTTATTAAAAAAGTTTTGGTACTTTGTATTTTGTAAAAATTTTGTATGAATAAACCATCAATTTTATAAAAAATTTAACTCAGAAAGTAACTTTTGGCAAAAGAAAATTGCAAACCTTTAACTTAAAAATAAAAAATCATTCGCCAACATCTAATTATTATTATATAAAGACTTGTTTATTAAAAATTATTTGATTAAAAGTAAATATTAACAATAGTTTTAAAAGTTATATAATTTACAAATCTAACAGATTATTCATATTCTTAAAAGTAAAATACACTCGAATCTAATGTAATAGATGAAATTAATAATAACCGCAAATAAAAAAAAAGGAAGATTTATTTTTTACATTATGTAATTAAAAATGATGAATAATGAAAGTGTCATTAAAAAATTTAATAGCAAGAATAATACTATTTAAATATATAAAATAAATAAAAAATATTTAGAAATAATATTTTCATAATTAAATATACTAGCATCTATTTTTTTAGTAAAAACAGCTACATTAGGATACCAACTTGCTTACAATAATATTACATTAACACTAAGTTAAGAATGGCATTAATTGATCTTGATTAAACAAAATAAAATTATTATAAGAAACTTATAGTATTTGTATAAATTAAACATGGAAACATCCTTTACTATTGATAATTATTCATTATAAATATTGATAATGTTGATAAAATTTTCATTCTGCTGTAGTAATGAAATGGAATAATCTTGTATATCAATAATGTAATCAAAAGAATTTTTAACAACTTTGAAGGAAAGTGATATTGATTTTCATTTATTTGCGTAGTTTACAATAATGTAATTCAAATACTTTTAATATAAAATGGAAAGTGATGTTGAACGGATTACGATAATGTAATGTAAAAACTTTTTAACAACTTTGAAGGAAAGTAATATTTATTTTCATTTATTTGCGTAGTAACTATAAAGAAAGTGAAAATTATTAAATAACGCTTATATAAATGTAAATATTTAAATTTGTATTGTGACTTGTATATAAAGTGTGATGGATATTTTAAATTATATTAGACAAAATTTTTAAATCTGCCAATGAATCATATTTTCATTATTTATTTTGTATTTTATAAATTGTAAATTTCACATTAATTATTAAAAAGTTGAATCGTAGATTACAAGTCTTAATATTAAGTGCAATATAAATTTTAATGAAATTTCAAGTACAGCTGCACGTATGAAAAACATTTATTCTTGAATGTTGATCGAATCATACTTAATCTAACATACAATACAAAGGTAAATTTTTATAAAAAGAATTGATCTATATACATCTTAATCATCAATCTACCTAGGAAAACTTATTCTACTTTTAAGATACTATCATAATAATGTATGCACGCATACGTGCATATGTATATATAAATTGTTTCAGAATGATTTTCACCTTAAATAGAATCATGGTCGATTACATTCTTCTTGAAATTTGGCAAATAAATAAATTTTGCAATTACAATGATTGTATATTGTGTGATATTATAAATGCATAAAAATTTTGTAGAGACCATTGAACTATATTATATATATATATATATATATATATATATATATGTATATAAGTATAATTTAATTTTTTATATAAAATAAGTTTACTCTCACATACTTGTGCTTTATTTTCAAGTACCTTTATTGCAGCTATGCAGATTATCATCTCCGCATTTAAAGTATCATTTAAAATTAATCTTATAAACATTTAAAAATTTCAACAGAATTGTAGTCAACAAAAAAGCAGTCTACATTAAAAACAATTGTTACTATTATCTTTATTTGGAAAAATTACTTATTCTTATTAGAAGCTTTACAGTATTTTTATTTGTTATTCAAAATTAATTATTTAAATATATAATTTTAATAACTACTGCTTTGTTTGGATTAAACATATCGATCCTTCTTATTAATAAGAAACCACGAAACACCATTAAGAAAACTAGCGGGGCTTTGAACCTCTTCGGAATTAATGTAATTTCTTACTTCTTCGACGCTCATTTCAATAATTTCAATCAATTCGCCTTCCGATTCCAATCCACCTCCTGCAATTAAAAAATTTTTTAACAAAAGGAATCGTGTTATACTTTCTCTATCACCTTGAATATGATAAATTTAATCCTATTGGTATTATACATTAGTTTTTACAATCCAATGAATACAAGAATATTAGATATAAACTCTATCATAAATATATAAGAAATAATGACAATATGAAATGCAAAGATTTTAACATTCTCCTTTGCATTCCTCCAATGCAACTTATATTTATTCGTTAAAAAGAAATTTTCAAACTTGAAAAAGTACGGTAATCTTACCAGGATGGATATTCATTTCATCCGTGACTTCAACGTAGAATAACGTTTGTTTGCTTACTGCACAGCCTATAGACCTGTAGCATAAAATATTTGTATATGTGATTTTCAATTCGACAACTATTGTCTCGAAGGTAGAACCACATTCTTTTAATTAAATTGCACTCTGCCTATGAGCTATTTGAGATAATGGATAAGCAAAGGATCAAAAGTAAACCGGAAAAATCCTAATGTAAAGAAAATAAAAATTTACTTAACACTGAGATAAATATAATTATTTTATACACAAAGACGTCGTTTGCTGAAATTTAAATACCAACAATACCAAAACAAAATACTAATGAAACCGAAACTTAACACTACCTGTATGTTAAAATTTTTTGAAAAGCCGAGGTTGGCGCTTGATATCCACATTCTTCTTGAACTTCATCTTGAGCAATGTTTACCAAAGGCTTATCTTTGTCGACGACACCGGAGCAAAGTTCAATAGTAAGACCAAGCATTGGTGGATATTTGGCGAGATCGATTTCCTTAGTTTTTTCTCGATTCGGCAGGCAGGCGAAAAAGGCAGCAGGTCGAAATTGCTTGACGAAGATCAGCTTTCGACGACTAATATTAAATATAATTATAGATACACTATCGCCCGACAGCGCAAGATCCCATTTCTTTTGCATATTATCTTGGACATAAATCATTTGGAGTGGTCTTAACCATTTTGAATCACGAGGAAGAGGAATGATACGAACATCGGTCAAATTTAACATACGTTTCTGAATTTTTTTATTCTGCTCTTCAAGCGGCGTACTTGACATTTTACAATTAAATTGTTCCTTACTTCGCTATTTACACTCTAATTCTTCACTCTTATTTCCCGTCTCCGCGGAATCCTTACAAGATCAAAAACTTTTTTCTTACATGTCGATTTTCACGACTTTTACGTTGACATGACTGTCTCGATCAGCCAAATCTGTTTCTCATATTTGCGATCCATTTTTGAACTATACTACCTCACCCAAGAGTATTACGTTCATCGATTTCGAATAAATCAAATATGCCACCATTGATAAATATTTTGTAATGCATTTGCACGAATCCTTTGACTTTCGTATGAAAGATAAATTGTAAGAATGGCTGTACAATTTTGAAAAGTTATACTATTTATGTATTTATCTTACTTCCCACAAATCGAATAGTCAATGTTACGGTATGGGGTATCGCAAGGTTGCGTAGCAATCTTAATCGTATTTTAATTCAAATAATGAACTATTTTTTTACACAATAATTAGGTTTGCAATAATCGATAAAGAAACATGTTTTTGTTTTAATAATAAACCTCATGGAATGTGAGCTTATATTTTCACTTATTCTTCATACGAGACATACATTATATTCCGAATCGTTACTTCAATCATATGTACTATGGAAAATTGCAAATTTTCTAAACTATGGCCAAAAAAATATTCAAAAATCTTACAAACTTATAATCTGTAAGCATTACGTTTCATCAAGAAAATCGTATTTTTCTTATCTTCACGTTTTTGCTGGTTAGTGGTTAGTGACATCTATTAATACAATTATTACTACACATTCTTAGCCATCAGTCAATATTTTAAATAGCAAATTATATTTAATATATTATTCGTAATTTGACTTTAACATATAATGTTTAATTCAATAATTTTCTCATTTATTTATTGATTATAGCGTATTAATTAATATTGCAGTTTATCTGTATTGTCATATGTATTATTTATTGATGGTAAACATTATCTCCAGAATGCGGTTACGATTTGTGCGGATAGATGACTCTGTGAGTAAAAGATGATTAAGGAGGTGCTACCCTCTAATAGAAAATACTTAAAACTAAATATGTGTACATTTTAAATCCATTAAAATGTTTAAATTAATTTTTAAAAGCCGATCACTACGATTATAATTGCATGCATTTTATAAATTTTCATTACTCTTGTGGTATTAATGTACAAATCAATATCTTTATCATAATCACGAGTAAACAAAAAAAAATCGTCTCTATTTTCTATTAGAAGATACGTGAGACTTTTATATACTTTAACTAAGAATATTATTCACCACTAAGTTATGAAGAAGTTAGAGAATCATATTTTGAATTTAACCATACTTAATTTATTATGAAGAAATAAGTTTCAAACAAAAATGAAACCAAAAAAAAACGTCTGCAACGGACAACAAGTTAAGATATTAATTGTTTATTTACCTTTTAATTTACGTAGCTGCAATTAGATATTGTATAATGAGCTTATATATATTGAAGTAATATAAACTCTATTGTTATTGCACAAAGTACTATATAAATACTTATTTAATATTTTTACTATAATATAGTAAAATTCCGTAGAAAATATACATCAAATGTGGAGATGATCTAATGAAATTATCGTATATTTCTTTTATTCACACAGTGGACGCATTTAATTTTTCTTGTTTTTCTATACTTGTACGGGCAGACATATTTCCGAGAATATAAGTTCTCAAAAAAAAAAAAAAAAAACCAAGAAGCTTATATTAAGTTTATATATACAGTTTTGTATTTACAATCTTATATATACAGATCATCAAAAGTATGCGATCAACGAATAAAGTAATATTATTTTCTTTTCAAGCCTAGTTGAAATATTTTATAACCTTACGCTTATTTATATATATATGAATATTAATTTCATCGTTAATTCAATACATTTTTTATTTACGGATACACTTGCTTTTCTCGATTATAATAAAATCCTTATAATTTTTATTATTATTTATTATTCTTAACAATTATATTTACGAAATTCACGAGTAAAATATTGTATGAAATTTATCTGAATCGAGGATACATAGATAATAAAAGTTTTTATCTACACGAGGTTATGTTCCTACATAAACAATATGGTAATAAATAAATTACTCTAGTGAAATGTCTTTATCGTCCGACTACAGTTTTCCATGTTGATAAGACTCATTCAATGTTCTCAAATATAAAAATAATTGAACGTTATGAATTAGTTAATATTTTTATTGTTAGCAAGAGCTGTAGGCAAGATAAGGATTTTCATATCAATCACATTAAAGTATTGAAATTGAATAATAGCGTAATTATTAAATAAAATGTAAATATTATGTTAAAATCAGATTTCATATAGGCATTAAATAGTTCGTTTACGCATAAAGAAAGAGAGAAAGAAAGAATACAAACATTTATAGAATTACTAATATAAACAATGTATAAAAAAGGAATAAAACGAAATATAAATACTATTTTAGATTATATCCGCATGTATATGTATTATAAATGTTTTATGAAATTTTATGGGAATGTCGACTACATTTTATCTAAAATTGAATTCAGTCAATACGTTGCAGTGACATTATTGTAGATGATGATTGTTTTCATCATCAATTCTATCATTACATTATTACCTTTCAAATGATTTTCCTCAACATTTTCTTACAATACATAGTGCCAAGCACAGTCACAGTTGGATATTTAAAATTCATTAAAAACTTATGCTTAATTGCACAGCCTACTCTCTTATTCAATCGACAGTAAGTTAAATAACGTTAAATTTAATGGACAAACAAAAATCTTCTCGCCATCCAACTATCGAATAATTCATAATTTCGTAATGTTGCATCGGATATTACTTTCCTTTGTAAAAATTATGTAAATTAACGAGCATAATATTAAACAAAAGCATCATAAATAATTAATTCAATTCATATCCTATTATAAAGAGAGCGTAAAAGGGCATTTTAATTTACAGAAAGCACGAATTTATCACGGAACTCAACAATGTGCAACGCGTCTTATACTTGACAACATAAAAGCAATAATGATTCAGATTTTTGTCATATTGTAAAGAAGAAGATGGATTGGAGCTCTCCCGTTTGAAAAAAATACGTCAGATTGGCTCTGTTGAATTTATGGTAATATTATGCTTGGAGCATTTGAGGGATATCTTACAGCTTACATAAGACATTGGACTGACAGTGTTCAACAGGTGGCGCTCAAAGTTTTCGAAGCCTACATGCATACATTACATTATCAGCCTAAGAATTCGCATCAATTATAGTATTTCTACGAATCAGCATTTAAAATTATTACTAATTAGATATACAACGTATAGTGCGAGTACTATGATGTAGCTAAATAATACGGCAGTTCTTCGTTCACTTCGAGATTCGTATACTTTTTATTTGATAAATACCAACTTCTGTTTAAAATGCAAATTACAGTGTACGAAGATAAATTTATACTATAGCCAGAATATCTAAAAATATGAATATTATCAGTGAGTCTCAAAAGTTGTATAAATTTATGTAATATTTTTTTTTCCCCTTGTCTTTTTTCTAATTAGTAGTGTAATTTTGAGGAAAACGGAGTGGAGTTCCTATAAATATACTTTATATTATTTTAACGTAATTTCTTTATCTACGGAATAATACACAATAATGCTTACATACAATTAAGAATAATTAACTACTGTTCTCTCTCTCTCTCTCTCTCTCTCTCTCTCTCTCTCTCTCTCTCTCTCTCTCTCTCTCTCTCCAAGCGCAACGCCAACGCCGACATTTTATAACAAGATTCTGATTTTTTAATTTTTAATTTAAAGTTATTGATTATAAAAAACAGTATCTCGGGTGAACTATTTTGTTGTAGAAAAACATGTATGTAAAATAATTTATAATATTACAAATTATTTATAAACTCAATATTCTCGATAAATGTTTTTCTAAGTTAGAAATTTTTACAAGAAGTCGAAAAGATGTAATAACAACATTAAGAAAGCATTAATAAAATTCTCGTGTATTCAAATCATTTCTAACTAAAATGATTCAAGATTAGTTATATGTAAAGTTCTAGCATTTTTTCAACATTACATTTAAATTTATTATACTACTACATTAGCGTCAATATAACTTTTCGTTTTTTTTTTTTTTTTTTTTTTTTTTTTTATAATGATTTCTTTATTTTCAAAAGAATTCTTCCTGTTTTTTACCTTTTGGTTGGATAAGTCCCCCCATATCCTACGTCTTGCAGTCTAGTATTCGAGAAGCATATCGAATCCCTTTACTGGACGGACTGTCATTCATTTTCAAAATATCCGGCCTTTATTGTCGTTCCCGACACTAAATGTGGGCGGTTTAAAACATTTTAATCGCTCGATCGTAGTTACAGCTTCGAATATTTACATTTATAGATTAAATTTTAAAGCAGCTAAAAATTATCTTGATGATTCTGCAAATCGAATTGATAATTGCATTAAAGATTCAAATACTACACGTATCGTTAAGAGACATTATGTGTATAATGTTAAATGTCTTTAACTTAAATCATAAATTCTAGTTAGAGTAGTAATGATCCCTTGCTGTATTGCATTAACAGTTATTTGTCTCGAAGTATAAAAAATGTTTGAAAAAAAAATTTTTTTTTATTTCTTTGTCATCGATAAAAAAATCAAGCACATAGAATAATAAATTAAAAACTTTTTATCATTTGTATGAAAAGAAATTGTAATGCTCATTGAAACCATCACTTCATTTAGAATTTGATTATAATTATTTCTATAAACTTTTCATTACCTACAACTTGATTAGTGATGTTATTTTGTTAAAAGTATCCGCTAACAGAAACTGTATCATAAAATTAATTTTAATGAAAAATCAATAACTCTTTTGGTAATTCTTTCATTTTCATTTACTTTTTTAATACCGTTGAATTATTATTAAATAGTAACGATAGTCTGACAGAAAGTTATTAATTTTATATTTCTTTGAAAAACGTACGTACAAGTAGTTTCATATTAATAAATGCTTATATCAAACATTAAATCTACTGGTAGCAAGTTTCTTCCTCGTGCATGTATGTATATATATTATATATGTCTGTATATATATTATATATGTGTATATATATTATATATGTATATATATTATATATGTATATATATATATATATCGTGCATGTATGTATGTATATATACACACATTCCCCCCCCCCCCTTTTTTTTACGTATAAGCGTATAGAAATAT